CCATGGTGTTCTGCGAGTCTCGTTAGAGTACGCTATTTCTCAAGACATTCCTTCAAAAGGATAAAGGATAAAGTCTAGCCGTTGATCAATCCCTTTGTGGGATGCGGCACGCATTCTACTTCCATTCAGAATCGTAGTGGCTTATTGAATGCGATGTGGCCTATACAATGACTTGCGGGGGCCAGCTGTACAAGTCAGTGTTCTTATCCTCCCAGACGAATCTGGTACCAATTTACCGTCCCCGGAGGGTAGAAGGCTTGGTTGGCCTGGGCGGGAGTCGACCCGGGATTTGAACCCAGGACGGCGCGAGTGGTAACTGCGCCACTTGTCGCTACACCACCTTTGAAAGTACCTTTCAATATAAAATTAGGACATTTTCAAATCCAGACAGCTAGGAAACAAAAACTCAGTAGTGGTGATTTAGAGTCGCGCTTTTCGATAAATTAAAAGGATAAAGTTCGCCTTTTATCACTCCTGTTTTGGGATGCGACACGCATTTTACTTGAATACAAAATCGTAGTGACTCACCGAATGCGATGTGGTCTATACATTAGCCTGAGGGGTCCAGCCGATGTGAAAGCCAGTGTCCTCATGCACCATTTGCCTTCTCCGGTGGGTAAAAGGCTTGGTTACATAAACGGGAGACGATCTAGGATGTCACCATCGGACCGCGGAGTGGTAAGCGTGCCGCTTGTTACTATAGCCCCTCCGCCTCCCAACCTTTTAAAAATGTACTAAATTAATCACAAGGGGTCCCTCCTTTAAAAATCATGTATCGTGAAGACTGGTTGTTGGTGACTTTGAAAATCACATGCGAGTTTTTGTGTAACCAGATCATCTGAAACGATATTAAAGAGGTGTAGTGTCCTCTCAGTGTAATTGCAGCGTTCGTGCTGGAAATAATACGTCACCCTAGGTCGCCTGAGCTCCACCCTTCGCAGTTTCACCCACCACGCCCTCGAGCTCCTTGAGCTGTCTAACTGAAGGACTCTATGGTTCAGATTTATAGTTATAACCATGGAACTCTTTATCCTTATCCTTCAACGATGGAATAGTTAGCCGTGGTCGCAGCCATTCCTTTTTTTACTTGACTGTTTATTTTAATAGCTTGTTTGTTCGGGTTATTTCAATACTTCGTCTAGTTTTTATGGCATATAGTACCATTCTTCAGTGACACAAGCAAGACCCGCCATTAGAGTCGCAACCAGAGAATCATCATTGTAGAACTCTCAACAAGGGTGATTGAGGGAGCGGTCAGTTTTGGTCCCAGGCTTTTGTTGAAGGCAAGTGGCAAATACATCCCCATGACGTGCAAGACTGATATGTCTAGCAGGAGAGAATTCGAGGTCCCTGAGCAGGCGCTGCGGGAGCCTTTTCCAAGGGAGGTCCCCTTATAGCGTCCTATCAGGCTGCAACTGGACGCCCACCGCCCGCCCACAAATGGACGTCTGATTGTAATGCTCCTATCGCTTCATTTGCGAAGGTAGAATATGAAGCGAAGGGATTGATATGAAGCAGCTGCGGTGCTGCAT